GGGGCCTGGCGGGGGGAGGTCCTTGGAGCTTGGGTGATCCCTCTGAGGTGTATGGGGGTGTTTCTGAGGATGGGGGAGATCCTGGAGCTGGGAGGGGTCCTTGGGGCTGGAGAGGGTCCCCGGAGTTGTGGGGGTGTCCCTGGGGTTGGGGGGAAGAGCCTGGAGCTGGAGGTGTTTCTGGAGCTGGGGGGGTCCCTGGGAGAGGGGAGGGTCCCTGTGGGGGTGTGGGCCCCTGGAGCTGTGGGGTCCCTTGGGAAGGTTCCTGGGAGCTCATGGGGTCCCTGTAGGGCTTGGAAGCTGGGGAGGGTCCCTGGGAGATGGAGGTGGGGGGGTCTCCCTGTGGGGCTGAGGGGTGTCCTGTGGGGCCAGGGGTCCCCACATGTGGCACTTTTCCCCCCAGGCATGCCACGTGGAGGGGGGCAGCGCAGGGCTGGTGCCCAGCCAGTTGCTGGAGGAGAAGCGCAAGGCCTTCGTCAAGCGGGACGCAGAGATGACCCCCACCTCTGGTACGGAGCCCCCAGCCCCCCAGTGGGGACATGGCCCTGGGGGCAGGGGGACAGGTGGTCACCTCCTGAGGGGGAGCACGGCAGGTCTCCCCTGCACCCCATGGCGATGTCCCCATTGCCCCATGGGTATGTCCCCATGCCCGTGGCACTGTTTGTGTGGCAAGTCCCCAACGCCTTGGGTGATGTCCCCATGGCACTACCCACGTAGCAGGTCCCCAACTCCCTGGGTGATGTTCCTATCCCCATGGCACTGACCCTGTGGCAGGTCCCAGCTCCCATGGCACTGTCCCCATGCTGTGGCACCGTCCCTGTGCCACGGCACTGTCCCCTGTCCCCATCCCCAGCTCAGCCAGCCTCCGTGCCCTCGGCAGGGGCCCTGTGTGGCAGCCTCAGCGGGAAGAGGAAGAAGAGGATGATGTACCTGACGACGAAGAACGCTGGTGAGTGTCCCCGACGGTGTTCCCCCGTGGTCTGTGCCCATGGTGGCCTCATGGTAGCACCTCACAGGATGGGGTTCCTCATGATGGCCTTGGGTTCCTCATGATGGCACCTTGCTCGGGGTCCCACCATGGGTGACAGCCCTGTCCCTCACCCAGAGTTTGACCGCCACGAGCTGCTGATCTACGAGGAGGTGGCCCGCATGCCCCCCTTCCGCCGGAAAACCCTGGTGCTCATCGGTGCCCAGGGAGTGGGGCGCCGCAGCCTCAAGAACAAGCTCATCATGTCGGACCAGGCGCGCTACGGCACCACCATCCCCTGTGAGTGTCCCCATGTCCCCAACGGCATCACTGACCCTGTGAGCATCACCATCCCTCATCGAGCATCACTGGCCCCTGCAAGCATCATCGTTCCCGAGAGCATCACTGTCCTGTCCCCTGTGACCATCACCATCCTCGTGAGCATCCCTGTCCCTACCAGAATCCCTGTCACTTGGAAGCATCACTGTCCCCTTGACAGCATTCCTGTCCCCTTGAGAGCTTCCCTGTCCCCCTCAGGCATCCCTGTCCCCCGCCAGCATCTCTGTCCCTTGCCAGCATCACTGTCCCCTGTGAACATCACTATCTCCACCAGCACCCTGTCCCCCTCAAGCATCCCTGTCCCCCATGAGCATCCCTGTCCCCAGAACAGCCCGTCCTGCCCAGCACCGAGGGATTGCACCCCTGGGTTTGTGGGTGCAGCATCGCAGCCCCATGGACCGTCCCCACGGGCTGTGGGTGCCCCCAGGGTGTGATGCCCGGGGAGGGCGGGTGGCACTGACAGGCTGTCCCCCGGGCAGACACGTCTCGGAAGCCGAAGGAGAGCGAGAAGGACGGGCACGGGTACCGCTTCGTGTCGCGGGGGGAGATGGAGGCGGACATCAAGGCTGGGCGGTACCTGGAGCATGGCGAGTATGAGGGCAACCTCTATGGCACCAAGATCGACTCCATCCGTGCCGTGGTGGAGGCTGGCAAGATGTGCATCCTGGACGTCAACCCCCAGGTAGGGGACCTTGGGGACACACACACACACCAAGGGGGTGACCGGGGCTGCCCCCTCCCTGGGGCTCAGCGCCATCCTCTCCTGCCCAGGCAGTGAAAGTGCTGAGAACGGCTGAATTTGTGCCATATGTGGTCTTCATCGAAGCCCCCAGCCCTGAGACGCTGCGAGCCATGAACCGGGCGGCACTGGAGAGCGGTGTGGCCACCAAGCAGCTCACGGTGGGTCCCCCTCCCAGGGGGTTTGGGTTTGGTGGGTGGGTGGGGGACGGGACACGCACACGAGGTTGGGGGGGGAGCGATGGGGAAACTGAGGCCGGGTTTTGCGTGGGGCAGGAGGCGGACGCCAAGCGGACGGTGGAGGAGAGCGACCGCATCCAGCGCGGTTACGGCCACTACTTCGACCTCAGCCTGACCAATGACGACCTGGAGCGCACCTTCGGGCGGCTGCGGGAGGCCATGGACCGCCTGCGCTCCCAGCCCCAGTGGGTGCCCGTCAGCTGGGTCTACTAGTGCCCCCCCGGCTCTCCCCCGACGGAGGGGGGGTCCACCACCACCCTCCTTCCCCCCACCCCCAAAAAAAGGCTGCTGGGGAAGGAGGGCAGTTGCGCCCCCACTGTCTTGCTCATCGGTGTGATGAGCTTGCTGTGCTCAGCACCGGTGATTGCCGGGGGGAGGGGGCTGGCTTTCTGCAGAGTGCCCCCCCACCCCAAACCTGGCCTGTCTCTCCTTCCTATCGAGCCCCAGATTTAGGGAGGGGGGGGGCAGAAGCAGCCGGTGGGGTCCCATGGTGGGGACAGACCTCCCCCTGTGCCATGCCCAGCACCCACACAGCTATTCACTGCCAAACCTCACACCCCCCCCCCCCCCCACCGTTCATACAGAAAGAGTGATTGGGGTTTCCCCCCCCCCCCCCCCCCCCTTTTTTATCTCTGGGGACTGTGCCCCCCTGAGCCGGGGGGGGGCAAGCTGGGTGGGCACAGGGAGGGTGGGGATCCCCCAGCACCTCGCGCAGTTCCAGCTCCTTGTAGTCTCGTGCCTCAGTTTCCCCATGGGGAAACGCACCCCATCCTGGGGCAGCTTGTGGGTTGGGACCCCAATGGCTGGAGTTGGAGGGGGGGGGG